CCTTCCCTTCCCTTCCCTTCCCTTCCCTTCCCTTCCCAGATCTGTAACTGAGTTTCCTCGGACAGCTGGCACACAGCTGCTCTCTGCAGCGCTGGCCACCGCAGCTGCAACAACATGCAGAAACACAAGCTTGTCTTCTGCGTAACCCTGACTTTGTGCTTCACTTCACACCCCTCCTTCCTGCATAACGTGGTTTTAACTCTTGCTTGGCTCATGGAACCCTACGGAAAAACATCACCCTCCTTTACACCACTCTCGAATGGTGACAAGAAGTAATAACTGTTAATTGCTGCATATTTTTTTCTTATCATTATAATGCATGTGAACCACTTACAAGGAGAGGAGGAGGAAGAAGACTCCTGGAGTGTTTGACACGAAGGCGAGGTAGCGCCACTCTCTGATGCAGTAACCCAGCAAAGCATAAACAGCAATGCCAACTGCAAATGTCAAATTGGTTAATGAACCTGAAAAAACAAGAGCAAACCAATCACCACAGAAACCACTGACAAAACGGAAAAAAATGCTTAAAGCGGAAGCCTGAAATTCCTCAATAAAATAGCAATTTTATGAGCTATCTTTACAGTACTGGTGAACCAGTTGGCTTAAGTGTAACATGCAATCCCAATGAAGAACAGCTTTGTGTAATATATGGGAGGGTTGGGTTCCCCCCCCCCTTTAAAAAAATAAAAGAGTGGGACATAGAAGAAAGTAAGAAATTAACAGGAACTTAGAGACTAAAGAGAAAACCTGAGGACAGGAGGGGAAGTATTGGGAGCAAGTGATTTATTTAGGTCTGTTAGGGAAACCTTGAATAGAAGCTGGAGCAGAAACTGGAAGTTACAGAAGTACAAGGACTGAGCTCAGTACAAAACCAGCTGCCAAGCCAGAGGTTTATTACAGCAGATTTCTGATGAATAGGTGTAAATAAAAATATCTAAAATACGGGGTCAACTGGAACTTCAAAAGCCCAGCAACAAACCTCCTGCAGCCAAACACAGTGATCTTGTGGACACACTCTGAGCTGTGTCCCACAAAGCCCAGCTCACACCAACACCCTGACAGCTGCTCTGACACAGCTGAGCTGCACCCAGGAGCTCCCTCTCCCTCAGCCCCTCCTTCCCAACGCTGAGCACACCTAGAACAGAGCACCCAGAGCAACAAGCAGCAGGAAATGGCCTGTCTTGTCTTGTCCATCAGGAGGTTGGCCCTGCAGGGAGGAAGCTGGGAAGAGCAGACAGAGACAACAGGGCAAGGGAGAAGGAAGGGTGGGGGAGAGAGAGAGAGAAGGCACAGTCAAAAAAGTGAACTCAGAAGAGGAAAATTCAGTACTTAAAAAAAAAAAGTGAAAGGTTATAACTAAACCACAACTGTCTCATACACCCCCAGGAGTCCAGAGAAAAAAGTAAGAAAAACTGCAGAAAGAGGCAACTGAATAAATGAGGGAGAGAAATATGCTGATCACAGACACAGGAAGCCAGCATTTGGACCATGTTTTTCCCCATGTTGTGTCTGCCAGAAAGGCATTGCAGTCTGAGCTACTCCAGCTTTGAAACCGTCTGATGTCCAAGTGTTAAACTTATTTTAAGTCTTGGCAGTATCATATGAGAAAAGGACATTTAAAAATACTGGATGGGCAGCACATTCCGCAGTGGAAAAACCACTGTCCAGGCACCAACTCATTTTGTGGTTCACTTCCCAGAATACCTTCCCAAGGTACCACACAGCAGAATCTGGCAGGATCTGCCAAAACATTTATTTTCTTTTTTAATGTAACACAGTGTACAAATTGAGAAATTTTAGGAATTAGTGTACCAGTTTGAAAACCTCAGTTTTGCTACTTATCAAACAAACTCAATCCCATCTTCCTTACTCAGGCACCTTTCCCACAAAAATGAGAACCTGGATGAATCACATCACACTCATCTGATTCATACCACAACTGATTTGACGTTGCATTAACTTAAAATGTAAGGCACTGAGAGAACAATATGTGTCACAGTAACAGTGATTAAAAATACCCCAAAGCCCACCTGTAAATGACCAGAATGATTTTCCTACATACTCTTGTGTTAGGACAAAAGACACAAGAGCCATTCCACCATTCACAATTCCAACAAAAAACCGTGAAACCGCAAATACGTCATAATTCGGAGCTAAGGCTGTGACATACCCAAAAATGACATCAAAAAAGAGACCTGTGGAGACAGAACAAAACGGAATTAGTACTTCTGTTACTCCAAAACAAGGCAGGGACCACAGTCAGTGACTGACTATAACGAGCAGACTTTAGTGCTCATCTCCCATCTCTTGCATTTAGCTTTCTGACACTACAACATGAAAATTACAACAATTTTCAAGTTACACACTTGAAGTTTGCAGTGTCAAAGGTGACATTTCCTTCAGAATGTTCTCATTAAACAAAAAGACCCTTTGGTTGTAAGCACAGCTGGAAAACAGAACACCAGGACAGGAGTAACCCACTCTAAAGATATTTAGGGATATCATTCTCTCCCTCATCCTCCAAAAAAGGGCAAATTATTTTTTACTTGGAACACTATGGTTGGGCAATGTGTGGAATACTGTGCTCCAGTAGTGATAACCATGGCAAAAACAGGTTCTTTTTTCACCTCCCATGGATATTCTGTGATCTCTGTTGCTCAGCACACTCATACTGACCAATGTCAGTGCTGCTCCACTTTGGGTGAGAAGCTGACACAGATCACTGGCAGAGCAGGTGACCCACGAGCAGCCTCTGAGCAGGGTGGGCCAGGGGCAGGGACGAAAAGGGATGTTATCCATGTAGAATGCTAAAGAAAAACCCTTTAACACTCCTACCTGAGATATACACAGGTTTCCTGCCCAGTTTATCTGACAAAGGGCCAAATGTGATATTTCCAATGAGCAATCCAGCAAAAAACAGGGATGATGCAAGGCTTACTTTGTAGGTTTCTTGGTCAATGAGGTACCACTGTCAAAAACAAAAAGAACATCCTTATTAAAAGTATCAACATCAAGTTGCCGCCTTTCTCAAAAATAATGAAACATCTATCAAAATTCTTCACTTGCCATTTCCCACTTGCTGTTTTATATCCCATATAAGTTTTATTCAAAGCTTGATAGGTAAGCCCACAGTAGCCACGTTTTGCCTCCCTAACAGACCCCAACATCTCTCCCCCAGGAAATTTCCATGTAATACATTAAAATCTTTCAAACTTGGTAAGTGCAATTAGTTGCACCCCATTCCCAAGCTTTTGGCCAGGCAGCTTACCTTAGGTTATTAAAACAAGGAGAGTCTGAACTGTTCACAGCTTACCCATTTCAGTAGTGAACCAACTCAGCTATTTCAAAGCACAAGTATTAAAAATCCTTCCTTAGCAAGAATAATGCATGTTCAGTCCTGCAGGACTCAGAGAGTTAATGCTGTGCAGCTGTGCTTCCTGAACCACCAGTGATCCCTGGTGCCCTTCCCCACCGTACACACACTGAACTCCTGAAGAGAATCAGGAGGGGATTATGGAAAAATGTCCTCGTTCAATAAAAATGCCAAGAACTACTTATAGACTACTCACTGGTGTTTTAGTGTCTCACTGCACATGCACATTCATAGCCAAACCCAAGTTAGAAATGCATCACGGGTTTCTTCACAAAGTGGACTTTGTACCTCATCCAAAAGCTAAACTGAGGCAGCGCAACCAAAAATCATCAGCAGAGAAGAAAATTAACTCAGAGTGGGTTGAAATCAGAATGAAATACTGTTTCCTGCTGGGGCAAGGCACACAGAGAGCTTGAGCAGCCCCTGTGCCACAGACAAGGAGAGTCAACGCTCACAGAAACACACCGTTGGACTTACAAACACTGCTGACCCCACCAGCTTGGCGAGGAATCAGAAAATCCTAAGTCATTTTCCAGGAAAGGAAATTAACTAATTCAACACAAAGCTTTATCTATAGAACTATTTCATCATTATTTTAATATTTAAAATAATTCCCAGGGTATTTACTGGAAAATTTACTTCCAAAAAAGTAGATGAGTGTCACACTGGATAAATATGTAGCCCCAAAACTTATAGTATCTTAACTTTCTGAGGGGACTTCAACAATGAAATACCCTTGGGCACAAACCCTCAGGAAAATTAAAGTATAAAAATATCACTGCATGTGCTCTCCAAGGCACAGAGCACTCCTCCTCCACTCTAGCACTCCACACTACACACATTTCAAACTCCCTGTTCTTGTCTGCAGAGTATTTCAGGCTGATACAAGAGACAACACAACTTTATGCTCCTGGATATGGTTGCAAAAATCCACTTCTTAAAAGTAAGGGACCATTTCTACACCAAATGTAGAAGTTCCTGAACTCACTGTCCAATTCTGAGCTCACCTTCCTAAGCACCATCGCTTGTTAAAGAAGGGGACTGAGTTGATGCCAGTCCCAAGAGCAATCCTAACAACTGTATTTTTCAAAAACTAAGCTTGAGCTATTATTTCTGAATTCTTAGTTATGCCAAAATAATTACAATGTTCTTGAAGCAGAACTCAAGCTCTGGAGGTTTTTTGAGAACAATGCCCCTGTCAAACCAGAACAGAACCAAGAATATTTAAGCTCCACGAAGTTTAATCTCCAACACCAAAATAAAGAAAATAAACTTTACGGAAGCAGCTTCCTTTCTCAGGGCAGAACCAGGAAATATTGCTTTTGCCAACTGTTCCTTGTGCTGCTTGGTGGATGCATGTTTGTATTTAAAATGTCCAACGAGCTGTGAAGAACGTAACTTTTAAAAGAATGCATCTATCTATCTATTTTATTGGTACAAAGGGAACTTGTTAAATATTTTTCAAAATTAACTGTAGCTGGCCAACAAAAGTGTTGCCAATTTTGCTCTCACCAAAACACATCCTCAGCTCTTTATATCCACGTGGCAGTGTGATTTACAGCAAAATGCTGCTCAACATCTAAAGATTCCATAAGAAGACTGTTAACAATATAGTTTTAAAAAATCCTAAAGTTACCAAAACACATGGGAACATAGATTTGTTTTGATGAATCTTGGGAATTAGCACATATTTTGAAAATAGGGACACTGGCTCCTACATTTCAAAACACAGTCTTAGTAAAAATTTGATGATTTCTGGTTATAAATTAAGCACCCCATATCAAGCATCCTGCTGGAAGTCTGCAACCGAAGAGTGATCTTGCTAATCAAAAAATTCTGTTTCTGACAGAGGATATGATCCAATATTGCATCATTCCTCCTTGGGTTTAGTCACTACATTTCCCCAAGGTAAGCATCACACTTGAGATAACGGGAAGGAAGCAAAATTTGGCACCAGTTACACCAAGGATTAACCTGTCCTATAGGAGTTTACTGAGAACTGCTCCAGGAATTCCAGCAGCAGAACTCCAGCAGTTCAGGCCACCAGCCCAGTCACCCACACAGCCTGTTTCCTGGCACTGGCAGCACTGCTCAGGTCACTCGTGCCTGTCTGGGCGGTTACAGCCAGGGGACCAGGGAAAAGCAAGCAGAGCCTCTTGCCTGGAATTCATAAGGCATTAAGATGAAGAGTAAAGCTTCTGTCCCCCTCAGAAAACTTCAGTCTGTTCCATCCCCTGCTCTCACCACACATTAAAATATCCAGACGTGGTGCACGAGTTCCATTTCCACACTGGTTTCATTTTTAAGATGTATCTTCTGTAAGGAACTAATGCAACTCATGGCCAAGCTTACATGCACAGCAGACTGTGCAGACACAACAGACTGAACCTCTCTCAGCATTAAACAGACATTAGAAAGAGCTCATCCTAAATTCCCGTTATAAACTGGAATTAAATTATCATTCTTCATTAATAATGACTTTCTAAAACAGCTCAAGGTATAGCTGAAAACAAAATAAATAATATACAGGAAGTTTAACCTAAATAAGTATTAGATTTACTGTAGGAAAATGAAACTAAAAATTCAGTCACATACTTTCTGATTTAAAAATAATAAAATGAAAGAGCCAAATGGTGGATTCCAAAGATTTTTAGTAGCATAAGCAGAAGATTGCACTAAGCCCTGCTTGGCTTTTCCATGTGCCATGTCCTGCACCAGTGACACAAATCCCAAGAAGAGAAGTGATTACACTGAAGGAAGTACTTGCCTCGGTGACGATGGACGTGAAGTTACTGGCAAAATGGATGTGCTTGGCAAGCTCAGCTCTGCTCGCTGGAATTCCCTCCTGGTCGATATGGTACTTGGGCACAGCTCCCACGAGCACAATAAGCATCGACTGGCAAGCCACGTATACCTTAAAATAAAACACAATCACTGACCCTGAACAACCCCAAGAGACCTGATGGAATATTGCAGGCTCTTCATTAAACTAACAATTAACAATTCCCCTTTACCCAGCATCCCAAAGAAAACACAGTCAGCCTACTGTGTCTAAATCCCCAAATGCAACCATGGAGGCTGTCGGGACAGCAAGTACCACTCCAGAGAGGCTGGTGCACTTCCAAGGGAAGACTCATCTTGACACCCTCCTCCCTGTTGTGGAGTTGTTCAGTTTGTTCTTGCAGTTATTAGCCAGTCATAGGAAAGGAAGATATTAAAAACTTCATTACAGTTTCATAGGTGAGAATACTTACATTTTTTACACATAGAAGTTTTACTTACTATATTAAAAGAATAGAACCTGCAGTGACAAGTCAAGAAATACACACACATGCAAAAAAAACCCAAACAAAAAACAACCCCCCAAAAAAGAAAAAAAAAAAAGTGAAAAAGAAATCTAATATTATATTTTTTAAAGTTTTTGCTAGTTCTTTCCATTTCAAGGACTGAATCCTTAACCTGACCATCAGGAAAACTAGAATGTGCAGGCGTAAACAAGATTTTTATAAAAAGAGACCCTTATGAGAATATTTATTCATTGAGATGAGCTTCAAGATGTTTTGAATGTCTTCCAGGCTTTGCACATGATTTTATTTTTTCTAACTTAAAATAATATTATCCCTAAGCATATCCACATATTAGTGATTTTTTGCATGTCACTGCCGATGGAAAAGTTTTGACTCCAGAATGGTTCCCTTCATTAGGCCACAAGTCTTCAGATGGTGCATTTGGCTGTATGTTGGTTTAATGTGCCATCTAATCCTGTGCTTACCTTGGACACTCTTGCAGAAACAAGTTACAAAGAAAACCATCAATCAGCACAATCTCCCTCCCTCCCAACGGTGTTTAGATCAAAATGTAAAGCTGCACTGACAAGAGGAAGCAAGAAAACTAAGGGAGTGAAACATATAAATATTTGCATGCTGGGGTGTGGGCACTATTTAAAGACAGCACTTTGCATATCGCTTTCAGAAGAGATAAAAAGAGAAAAAAGGAAAGAGAAACAAAAAAAAAAAATTGTTGTACTTAGACTCCATTTCCCTCATCAGGAAAAGCATAAAAGGTACTCTTTAAAAAGCGAACAAGATAAAAAGATGTGCACAGGAATAAGGAAAACACATCATAAACTTTGAGAAGTTAAGCACGCAAGACACCACTGAGGTAAGAGAGAGGTTTGACAGGCTCCTTGGAAAAGGACCAAATCCGTTTTGGAACGCCCACGAAGCCAAGCGGGGCTCCAAGGGGACGCCTGCGGGCACACAGCGGCGAAGGGAGGGAGCAGCGGAGCAGGGGACGGTCCTCGGAGGCGGAGGAGCTGGGGGGACACAGAGCCCCGGCTCCCGCCCTGACACCGCTTCCCGGCGGCATTCCCGAGCCCCTGCAGCCCGGGGGGGCGCGGGAAACGGGAATGTGCCCGGGAGCGGCACCGCCATCCCCGCGATGGTGCCCGGGCTGTGCAAACGGAGAGAGAAAGGAGGGCAGGGGGTCCCGCCGCGCCCTCACCTGCAGCAGCACCAGCAGGGCCGTGAGGCGCCGCTGCCCGCGCCCGAACGGCCCCGCCGCCGCCAGCGCCTCCTCCACGTCCAGCCCCAGCTCCCGCTCCAGCCCCGCCGCCATGGCCCGCCCGGAGCGCGCCCAGCCGGGATAAGCCGAGCCCCGCCGAGCCGAGCTCCGCCCCGGCCGTAAAGCCTCACCCGCTGCCGGCCCGCCGGCAGAACCGGGCGCCGCCACAGCCGAGCCAGGCGGGCAGAGCGCGGAGCATCCGCACCAGGCGTGGGGAACAACCTCCCCGCCGCTCCAGGAAGAAAAAGCTGCCAAGGCAGGAGGTGGTTCCAGGCAGGATGCTCCGGGAAACGGCCACATCTCCTCTCCAGCAAAAAGGCACTCACGGGGTGCTGCGGGAGACATCCCTGCAGAGAGCAGAAGAGCCCGGCAGTGCCAGAGCTGTTTGAAAACGAGAGCAGCTCTCTTTCAGAATCTGGATTTTAAGAGCAGCAGTGTTCTTTATCAGGATTTCATCTAGACTAGATAATTGCAGGCTGCTACCAAAGGTAATTTTGCTCAGTAGCCTTTTCCCCGGGCTGCTGTCTCTAGTCATGTGGTAATTGGGCACCTACTGAACCAGGAGGCTGCCCTGCCAATTCAATAAACAATTTGAACTACCAGAAATATTCTCTTCACCCTGTGGCTTTCATCCAGCTTGCAGGGTGACACCAAAAAGCTCCACACCCTACAGACAACAGGAGAAACTCCTTTCAAGTTGCCAAGTCCAGTTTTAAGAATAGAGACATTAACTATCATTAATTAAGGTGTTTGACAAAAGCACAGTGAGTGGCCTTGTTTGGTGCAATTCCTTCAAGACTAACACACAGTTACATTTGCATTTTTCCTACCATTACGTTTAAAGGTGGAGCTTTTACTATTACACTAACTTTATACAGGGGTTTAGTTTTGCTTTGGGTTTTTTTTTAAGTCTCTCTCCTCAGCCCTATTAAGAAATCCTTTGAGGCAGTAAATTAGGATGACCTCCCCTTAGTATTCTTAGTCCAGGAGAACTAAAATTAGTAGAAAGATTGGCTGTCACAGCACAGCTCCCCAAAAAAAAGCAGCAGGTGCCACACAGCAGAGCTAGTTTGTTGGCCAGGAACAGCTAAGTGAGGGTCAAAGTGCTGCTTACCTTGGAACTGGGACAGCCTGGAAGAAAGGAAGTTTCTAAATAATTTCTAAGCTTCCTCATGCACGTAGTCACCATACATTGGCAGACAGCAGTGAAATCCTACATTCTGAGGTCCCTGCAGTCTATGCTCCAGCTGTTTTTCTGATTCCTGCCCTAATTCAGACAGCGCAATCTGTCACTGAACCTTGGCAAAGGCAGGCAGACGTAAGACAGGCTTCTGTTCCATTCCTGAATACAGCTACAGAAAGGACCATAGTCGTTTTGGAAGTCTACTGATTTTACAAGAACTACTAGGTTTCCCCTCATATTCCAACATCTGTTTTCTCATGTTAGTGTGGAAAATACACAATGCCCAAAAACTCCAAATAAAGAGCCCCCAAAAGACCTGTCCCCATTGTTGCTGCACCTGTTTCACCTTTAATGTTTCAGCCTAAGACATACGTACCCAGCACTGTTTTAGAATCACCAGCTAACGATTCCCTGAGTGGGTCTCACCAGAGCATCACTTACACAGCAGGACAGGTTTTAGCCCACATTCAGGAATGTTCTTGCTGCCTGCTAAACATCAGTTGAACAAATATAGGAGAAAAGGTCAGCATTGTTTTCTGACACCCACAATTTTTTGGCAGGGGGTTTGTACTGTATGAACTGCTCTGACATCGGGAACTGAATCACTGCACAGTCCCTTCCAGTCAGGTGGATTTTCATAATGCTTTTATTTATCACTGCTGTCTCTCAAGTCCTTCTCCTCAATAAATATTAATAAGAAATTCTTTCCTTTGAGGCAGTAAGTCAGGAAGCCTTGCAAACAAGGTCCAGAGAACATGGACACTGAGGTTTTGGATTGGTTTTTGGGAGGGGTGTTAAACAGCTTATTTGAGCTGATTGAAAAGAAAAGGGCCAAGTTCACCTTCCTTCTCTAGGTCACCTCAAGAACTCTGCCTAGGAAATACAAACCCAAATCAGTTTGCTGTCCAACAGTTCCCCAGGAAGGTGTATCCTTTGGAACACGAAACATCTCAATTTGAATTTATTCTGAACCAAACATCTCAAACAGGTAACGTTGGACCGTTTTCAAGTTGCCTTTCCCAGGGTAAGTTTCATTTTGGTGTAAATCAGCTTCAGCCTCCACAGCAGAACCTCCAAGGCAGTTCAGTCACACTTCAAAGAGTTTTAAAAGTCTCTCCAAAGTTTAGACGGATTGTTTTGTTACTGGAACCATTATGATAAATAACAGAACACAGATCACGTACTGAGTGGTTTGTTAATCATAATTCAGGTAATAAAATATCCATTGCATCCTGCTCAAAGCAGCATTTATTAAAGAGAGCATCAAGATAAGTCAACCCATAACAAAGCCTTCCCTCCTACAAATATGTAAACAAGTCATCAGCAAGTTATTATTACAATATAAAAATTAAAGCTTACATTGCATTTTTTTAAAGCTACTAACTTCAGTCCAAATGGAGACAGTCTCTGGTCTATAGCATTTAAAAATACAAGTTCTTGAAAAATGGTAAAGTATTGCCTTTGCACATACACATCTTTGTATAAAAATACTTAAAAATACCAGCTTCCCATTAATAAAAGCAACACCAAAAATAAAACACGTTTTTATCATAAAGAGAGTTTTAAATGCATCCAGCATTTTCTTCACCATTCTGTTTCATCAAATTATCTTCTGTTCACTTAAAATTCATTATAGTTTGTAAAATGTATCTTGGATATTATTCAGTTACTTTCATATGCCAAAGACATTCACAATATTGGCAATTACATTGTAATCAGAGTCTGGCCTAAGATTATTTGCAGCTGAAGCCAGCAATTTAATCCTCATCTCAAACATGGGTATTTTAACATGTACAGCAGGTTCTTGCTCAGAACTCTGAGTCAGTTCACATATATTTTGGAAAGGCTTGAAACCTTGATGTGATTGAAACAGAAATACATATTCTTTTTTACAGCACCTTTAACCTCTGTGTAAGTTTTTAACTACATTAGCAGTCCTGTTGGTGGCCGTCCATCAATTCTCAAGAAATGCTCTGAGCAGAAGGTTATCCAATTTGACAGGAACTACATTTTACAGTCCAAGACCAAACAGAATGTTAAAGTAAACATCAACTTTTAACATTTTTTCCTACAAGTTTACTGGCTAGAGCTAGGCAGATCACTTCTGCAGTTGCTAAGGCAAGAAAACTTTGAAAATTCTCTGTACACAAAGTTTAAACAATTGTGTAGTATTTCAAAACCCAACTAAATTCAAAAAGCAAATTGGGAGGAAAGCTAACCGTGCCATTGTGCTCTGCCAAGCATCAGCTGACAACAAACAGCCAGAGGAAAAAAATCAAGATGATAAACAGTGAACCAGTTTCAGGATGAATTCAAAGAGCAAAATCAGGCTGTCAAGAAAAGAATTTTACAGTTGGATATTGGACTGAACAAGACAGCTAGGAAAACCCTGGGAGCTGGGTCACTCAAGACAGTATCTGAGAGAACCAAAGTGCATTTAAATGGAAACAGTAATGAATATGAATAATTCTGCCATCTTTCCTACTTCCATGCAAAGTTCAGAAAGAGTTTACTTAGCCAACTGAGT